CCTGCCGCCGACATGCAGTCCCCGGCGGTGCTTGTCACCTCCAGGTGAGCCAGAGCCCCGACCCTCGCGTCCCCGGCACCCTAGCTGCCTGAAGGTTTATTCCACTGGACCCCACTATCCCGCGGGGTGGTGGCGCGCCATCTAGCGTCCCGGGTTTTACAGACGAGGAAACTGAGGCCCCCTAGAGGATAAAGCACTCACCCGAGACTCTAGAAAGGCCTGGGGCTGGTGAAATCGGGCCGGCTGGGACTGGGGCCGGTTCCCTGTCTTTGTGTACTTGGGGGTCATTTCTTCCGGACCCCCAAACGTTTCAACGCTAGCTCTGTGTGTACCCGCCCGATGCTAAGCACCAGGGGCAAGGTGAATCAAACAATCTGGTTCTACAGGGGATACCCGCACCAGGGTGGCTAGTGCTGCGGAAGGGAGAGGGCGGTAAGTTCTAGTTGCCTTGCAACACTGCTGTTGGGCGTCACCAGGTAGAGCTGAGACCCTGACAAGTTGGCGCAGGCCAGAGTTCGGGAGCTTCCACAAAGGGGTCAGCGGCATTGCGCACCCATCCAGGACCACACCTAAGGGACCAGCTGGGACGGAATTTAGAAAGGCTGGGAGGGGAGTGGTCCTACTTGTTCCTCATGTTTTAAGTAACTAATAAAATGGCGAACTTCAAGGATATTCGTATACTCCGCCTTTGCTCACCCTACACAAACTCTAGCCAAGACGCCAGCTTATTGTGTAAATGGACGCAACAACCAACACAGGTTCAGCTGTACTCCCAGATCCCAGTCTAGAAAAGTGTGGTTCTGTACATAAACTGGGATGTTGGAAGCTGCTTGCTGTCCTTGGTTTGGTGAATGAGACTGCAGGTCCCATCTGAGATGTCCCTACTGCTCTGTGAGTTGTTTCCTTTCACTGAGCCTCGGTTTCCCTTTCTGTAGATGGTCGTTCTATAGAGACCAGCAATTAATGTCCCCGTTAGCCACACCAAGCAGACTCTTGGCTGTGAATTGGTGCTGGTGCCTAGTTAGGGGAGCGGTGACTTCCCTCAGTGACAGCATGTGCATGGGTGTTACAGGCATAGCTGATGATGATGAGGGCAGAGGAGTTGTAGCCCTGTCCATTCTGACAGTGACAGTGGACCAGGGATCTTACCTTCAAGGAATGCTGACACCTTTGCAAGCACTGAGGTGGCCCTGGACCCAAGACCAACTGATGTTTCCATTCTACACCTGCTGGGCATCTGCCGGGCTTCATGCATGCATCCAGCCAGCAGGGGTTTCCTCATGGGGCTCTTCTGTGCCAGATACTGGTCCAAGATTTTGAATACAACACTGAAGCTTTGATGGGAACGGGACATTTACTGCTGAGAAAGAAGGTGAAATAATGGGAGATCTGGTGATAGACATGAGCTCTTTACTTATTTGTTTGTTGGTTGGTTTTTCAAGACAGGGTTTCTCTGTTTAGCTTTGGAGCCTGTCCTGGAACTCACTCTGTAGACAAGGCTGGTCTCAAACCCACAGCCACTGGGATTAAAGACATGAGTTTTATGCAATGTGGTAGAGGGACATTTTTCTGAGAGATGGCAGGCAAACAGGCACTTGAGAAGTCCCCTGGGGGAGAAAACTATAGTAAGGAAATCTTGACATGTGTGCTCAGCAGAGAAGACAGCAAGAGCCACAGTCCAGAGGTCAGTGTACTCAAGTCAAGGGAGCATGGAGAGAGAGTGCTGGGTGTCCTGGAGAGCCTACAATAGAGAAAATCCACCAGGCTTCATTCCGAGTGTAATGGAAAGCATAGACAGAAAGACCAGGGCTGCTGCCACCCTGTTCTGTAAGCATGTGGAGCTGTGGTGGAGTGGCCCGACTAAGGGGAAGAGGGACTGAGGCCTGTTTAGGTGCTGAGTGTGTTGTGAATGATGAGCTCTGAGGTCTGTGAACGGTGAGGTTGTAGGTGATGGGGAGACATGGAGATCCGTGGCAGAGCTACTACTGCTTCCTGGTACGGGGAGCAGGTGGCACAGGGGAATCGGCATTTGTTCAAACGGGTTCATTTGAAAATATGATTAACAATAAGAGGTGGGATGGCCTGGAGGGAAGAGTCTGGGTCACAGGCAGGAACTGGGGCGCCTTTGACCTGGGATGTCATGGAAGGCCTTGGATCTGGATGAGGCCTGTGGAAGAAGATGGTGCGAGCCAGATCACAGTGAGCCTTGGGAATGAAGTTAATAGGATCCTGAGAGACCTGCACCCACATTGAAAGTGAGCAGCTTGGTTTAGGCCACGGGTGAGCGTACTATAACCCTGAGCCATAAACTGCCAATGGCTTGCTTCTGTGATTCCGGAAAGAGAAAGAGAGAGAGAGAGGGAGAGAGAGAGAGAGAGAGAGAGAGAAAGGCAAAGTGGGTACCTTTTGGCAGGCCCTGCCAAGGTATGCCACTAAACAAACATGCCATGTGCATCAGAGTTAGTTTGAGAGCTTTATTGGGGGGGAGGGAAGGAGGGAGAGAGAGAAGGAGGGAGGGAGGGAGGGAGAGAGAACAGGCAAGAAGAGAGCTGAGAGACAAGAAACTCGAGAGAAGCAAGAGATCGAGCTATGCCTGGTGGACACTTTATAGAGGGTGCACATATCCCATAGCTGATGGTGAAAAGGTACCTGGTGCCGGGTGATGATGTAACTGCCTCCATGTCAGGAACTAACAATTTCCAGTTGTATAAGAACATACCCAGTTCGTGCAGGTGTTGTCTGTGGCTGCTTTCCCTTTGCGTCTGAGGGCAGAACTGAACAGATGTAAATGAAGTAAGATAGAGTGCAAAGTTTAAGTTAGTTAAGGTCTGCTCTTACCAACCTCAGTCTTCTGATTCAGTGATTCAAGTGTGTCATTCTCTCTCTCTCTCTCTCTCTCTCTCTCTCTCTCTCTCTCTCTCTCTCTGCTTTTTTCAAGACAGGGTTTCTCTGTGTAGCTTAGGAGACTGTCCTGGAATTCACTCTGTAGACCAGGCTGACTTTGAACTCACAGATCTGCCTGCCTCTGCCTCTCTAGTGCCGGGATTAAAGGTGTGTACCACTACTGTCCAGCAAGTGTGTCAGTCTTGCAAATTCCCAGATGATGCTTATTCTGTCCAGGGACCACATCTTTCAAACTCTACATCTGAATGAGATCGTGTTCCCAGGCTTGCTGCTCTTGCCTAAAGTTGGTGGTCAGGAGTTTCAAGGAGAGACAGAGGAGCGTGATTGTGCCAATCAGGCAGAGCTGCCTGGGCACAGGGACAAAGGAAGCGATGAGCTGCACAAGTGGGCTTCTTCTCCAATCCAGCTCCGCCCTAGGCATGAAGACAAGGGAATCAAGCCTGAGATGTAGAGATTCCTGTTGTAGGGATTCCTGTTGTAGTTCAGCTGCTAGGGTCAATACCACAGGGGAAAATGATTGGATATGGAGTTCAGTTCCTGGTGTGGGTGGCTGTGGGTCACCTCCAGGGAGCAGGGTCCATGGGAGGTTCCAGTGGGGGCTCAATTATCCTCTCCTATCGTCTGCCATTCAGGGTGAACAACCTTCCATGTTGTCACTTCCTACTACCTCATTTCATTGTCTTTACAGTCTTAAGGAAAAGTGTGGGTGATTGGTTATGATCTAATAAAGCTTCCCTGAAGATCAGAGAAGCAAAGCAGCCGGTCACTAGAAAGTTCTTACCTCTACCAAGGCTGGGGTGATCCTGTCCTCACCGTGACTGTAACCTGAATACTGAGTGAATATCCTAAGCTCCCGTCTTATATACCTCTCTAGTGCTGGGATTAAGGACGTGCACCACCACCACCTGGCTTCTGTGGCTAACTAGTGTGGCTGCTGGGATTAAAGGTGTGTGCCACCACTGCCTGGCCTCTATGGCTGTGGCTGGCTTTGCATTCTGATCTTCAGGCAAAATTTATTAGATCATAAACAATATATCACCACAGAAAAGATTCCTCATTTTCCTTTCACATTGGCAAAGACTTCCTGGATTATTCCATGGAGCTCTGACACCAAAGACAAGCTACTCCCTTTGAGGGTGTCTGTTCCTATCTTTTAGGAACAGATGAAGTAATTGCACGTATTCCACCTGCTGCAAGTGTCAGATGCTTCTCCCATACCATAGCCTCTAGTCTCCCTCCTCCCTCCTGCTCTTGTGACAGTGGCACATGGTCTCCATCCAGCATCAGACAGAGAACATTGTTGTTTGGCCATTGGTAAAGAAGAGGGCAAGCTTAGTGTATCTCATTGTGTAGCTTGCATCTGCCCTGGATGCCTTGCGATGCTTCCTCAGGGACAGGTTAGCTCAAGCCTGCAGTGGGATTCATGCTTACTGATGCGCCTCACATGGGATGAGAGTTTTCCCCGTGTGTAAAGTCTGTGCAGTCACCGGACACACCCATGCATATTGCATATGTCATGCTTTTAGTAGGCTGCCTCAGCGTGACAGCCTTGTTCCTGTGAGTGTATTCATGACTGCATGTGTGTGTATCTGTGTGTGTGGGTATGTGTATCTGTGTGTGAGTTTGTGTGTCTCTGTGTGTGGCTCTGTGTGTGTCTGTATGTGTATCTGTGTCTCTGTGTGTGTCTGTGTATCTGTGTGTGTATTTGTGTGTATGTGTGTCTGTGTGTATCTGTGTCTCTGTGTGTGTCTGTATGTGTTTGTGTGTCTGTGTGTGTGCCTCTCTCTCTCTCTCTCTCTCTCTCTCTCTCTCTCTCTCTCTCTCTCTCTGTGTGTGTGTGTGTGTGTGTGTGTGTGTGTGTGTGTGTGTGTGTTGCATTAAAAATACTCCATGGGCTCTGCTGGGCATTCATAGCTCTCTGAGAGCAATAGGTTAACCAGCACCTTTTGCAGTCAGAGAGGATGTTCTAACTGCAACAAGACTGGGGTGTCTGCCCCTTATTATCCAGAGCCACTGTTTCCCTACAGCCTTGAATGTCATTCTAATTCCCCAGCTTCAACAACTCTATTGGCTGTCCCCCTGCCCTCTTTGGAGCTGAGGAGGTATGTCTGTCCAGATTCCCTAGAGGACTTCAATCCTCCGTCTTCACAGACTCAGATGTCTGTCTCAGTCTACAACCCCCTCCCCCCACAAGAATGCAAGGACAGACTGGCAGGGTCACACAACTGAGTGGCCCAGAACACAGTGACCGGGCCCCACTGACCTGCCTTCTTTTGCTTTACAGGCAAGTTCAGAATGTCCACACAGGCCTTGACTTGACAGTGCCACAGCACCAGGAAGTTCGGGGCAAGATGATGTCCGGCCACGTGGAATACCAGATCCTGGTGGTGACCCGCTTGGCTGTGTTCAAGTCTGCCAAGCACCGGCCTGAAGATGTCGTCCAGTTCTTGGTGAGCAGAGGACTCTAGCCATGATACCCTGAGGGTGCCCAGGCAAGGTGTCTGCCCTTCAGGGTGCAGTAGCACCAGAGTCTGACACTTCCCTATACAACCACGTGTCTAGGGGCTGGAGTACTAGATTGTGTGGGAAGACAGGAACACCAGACTATTTCCATGCTTTGAGTCCACAGGAAGGCAGACTTGGAAAGAGACATAGATGGTGACAAGAACACATGGGAGACTGGGAATGTGTAGAGAGAGCAACCTAATACACCTTGGAGAAAAGATTCTGGAAACTTCCTGGAAGAGGTGAAGGCAGGACAATGTTTCAAAGAATAGATGCTGTTACTGGGTGGTGGTGGTGCACACCTTCAATCCCAGCACTTGGAGGCTGAGGCAGGCAGATCTCTGAGTTGGAGGCTAGCCCGGTCTAAAGAGTGAGTTCCAGGACAGCCAGGGCTACCCAGAGAAACTCTGTCTTGGGGAGAGAGGAGGGGGGAGGGAGAGAGGGAGGGAGGGAGGAAGGAAAGGAGATATAGATGGTTCTAAGCAGCAGTGGAGGAGAAGGCTGTCCCGGAAAGAAGGCACAGGAGCTGGGAAGGGGCTTGGAATTGAGAGCCTCTGAGTGATTGAGACTGGTCTTGGGATGACATGGGAGGACACAAGGGTTGGTGACATGCAAGACACAGTTGAACCTGGACTTGTCTTGCAGACATGTAGTTTCAAGCAGGGAAGTGACAGTTCCATCTGTCTTTAACCAGAGTCTAGTAACAGCAAGGCATTGGGATCAGGAGACAGGGAGCCTGGTTTTGGGGACAGCACAGTAAGCCACCAGGCTGGAAGTCCACACAGACAATAGGTGGGGCAAAGGGAGAGGGAGGTGCTTACAGTGTGTAGCTCCCATTGGCTAAGATCAGATATAGATGGAAGTTTCTGTCCCACCTATTCCAACAGCCGTTCAGTCCCAAATAAACACACAGGGGCTTATATTAATTATAAATTGTTTGGCTGATGGCTCAGGCTTCGTATTGTCTAACTTTTAATTATTAACCCATTTCTATTAATCTATGTATCTCCTCGTGGTCTGGGCTTACCTGAGAATGCCCAGGTATCCTACCCTCCCAGTAGCTACATGGTTTCTTCCTGGTGACTCACTCTTGGCATCCCTCTTCCCAGAATTCTCTTAGTAGCCCTGCCTATACTTCTTGTCTGGATACATCTTGCCTGTCTATTGGCCAAAACAGCTTTATTCATCAACCAATAAGAGAAACATGTATTCACAGCATATAGAAACACATCCCCCATCAAACAGCAACATTGGTGAGAAGCAGATTAGGGGCTGTGGTGAGTTCGGTATTCACCCACTGGGTAGACAGACACAGGCAGTCCAGCATAGGATTGGCCCAGGCCTGAGACTTGGGTATTTAGACATAAGTTTGGAAGTCATGTTAAGAGTTGGGAGTGGATAGGGCTGGAGAGATGGCTCAGAGGTTAAGAGCACCGACTGCTCTTCCAAAGGTCCTGAGTTCAATTCCCAGCAACCACATGGTGGCTCACAACCATCCATTATGAGATCTAGTGCCCTCTTATGATGTGCAGATATACATGGAAGTAGAATGTTGTATACATAATAAATAGATAAATAAAAAAGAAAGAAACTCGGTTGTCTTTGCCTCCAAAACAAAATTTAAAAAAAAAAAAAAAAAGAGTTGGGAGTGGATAAAGCTACCCAGACAGCAGAGGTGGATAGCAGGGAAAGGAGCTGAGGGAGAAATCCTAGAGATACCAGCAGGCTAGCAGCAGTTGAGTCTGCCATCAAGGCAGAAAGATGAGACTGGGTGACCAAAGTCACAGAAGCTAAGGGAACAGAGAATTTCAAAAAAGGAGTGATGTGTTCATACATTTATTTACCCTTTGATCTCTTATGGAAGGGGCCCAGACCTGGTGAGCAGGGAAGATGGGATCTTAGGGTAAGATAAAATGAAGCAGAGTCCTCTAGTACCATGAGGGAGCAGCCTGCTGAAGGCTGGTTCCACAACCCAGGCAACCAAGACAAAAGGAAAACAATGAGTGCACAGCTCTGTGACAGCCAGGAACCAAATTATAAGAATAATGTAAGGAGGCTGGAGAGATGGCTCAGAGGTTAAAAACACTGGCTACTCTTCCAGAGGACCTGGATTCAATTCCCAGCACCCACATTGGCAGCTTACAACAGTTTGTAACCCTAGTTCCAGGGGATCTGACACCCTCACACAGACATACATGCAGGCAAAACACCAATGTACCTTTAAAAAAGAACAATATGAGTCACAGAGGAGGAACGTGAGCCCAGAGTTCTGTGTCCACTGTGTTCTGAGAGTGGATCTGCTCTATGAGGCATTTGCAGCTCCTGGTAATCAGACCTGACCTCAGATTGCCCGAGCTCAGTGCACCATGCATTCAGAGAGCAGGAAAAAGGGAGTGAGTGATGCTGGAGCCCCAGAGAGAGGCAGCATCTTGGGAACACTTGGGGTTCGCGTGCAGCCCACTCTGTCCTGTGCGGAGAATTGTATGTCAGAGCAGGGTGAGTGAAAGGTCCCCTGTGGCTTCCACATGCCACACTATTGCTGCTAGCAATGCCTGAACAGTGATGGCCACACCCTGTGGAAAGCATGCTGGGGTGTGTACAAAGTGTGGGCATGCGCGCGTACATGCTGGGGCATTGCAGACCTTGAAGTACCTAAGAGAGCAAAGGAAAACTCATTTATTGCCCCACACACCATGGTATCCAGGGGTGTAGCCCACAGTTATGGCCCGAGGTCTGAAGTCCCCCTGGAATTTCATGAGTTAGCTAAAAGAATAAATGAGTATTTTGTGTCTGTTCCTTAAAAAGGATATATATGTTTTAGTAAAAGCAAGCATTAGTTGCTAGCCTCATGGTAAAGCCAGCCCCTAGGGAGGAACACTATAACCAAGGCCTGGCAGCCACCCTGGGAATCTGCATTGCACAGGCATGTACACATTGCCAGAGGACCGTGAGGTAGCATCGCTGCCAGCCCCGTGCTCTGCAATGCCTGCCACACAGAGGCACTTGGTATTTTTGTGTTCACACCTCAGCTCCGTTGCTCTTGTCACGGTTTCTGGAAGCTGCTTGATGTTCTGCCTAGAACACAAAGGGATGTATGGTGCCTGAGCCCCTCCTGAAAGTTAAAACTCAAACTGCCTGATCTGTGGGTCTGTAGCCTGAGCCTGCATGGAGTAGTTAGGCCAGCAGGGGGCGCTCACTCCCTACTGTGGCCTGGCTGCAGCTGCCAGTGCCTCAGAACAACTCAGGGATTCCTGTAGGAACCTGAGTAACTGGTGCACTGGGGATCCTCCTTACCCTTTCCTTGAGAGTTCTTCCCAGGAAAGTTCCAGAGCCAGGCTGGAACTATGGGCAGCCGCTTCCTATCCCAGGGGACTCCCCTTTTGGAGGGTTCTGAAGCTCCACCTCGTACCCCCACCCTCACTGCACAGCCACCCTCCTGGTGTCTAGGACCTGAAGCTGGGTGCTATGCTGGTTAATGAGCTGTGAACCACACCCTGTCAGGCCTCCCAGAGCCCCAGTGATGGGGACACCCACAGTCTAGTCACACACCAGTGTACATTCTTAAGACAGTGCAGCAAGGCCCCGGGGGTGCAGGTTGTTCATGCCTTCATTGTCAACGGTGCCACATATTTACTGGGGAGATGAGCCTAGCCTCCAGGGAAGCCATTGAGTCTAGGAAACCCAGGGTGTTGGTAAAGGTCAGGCCATAAGGCAAGTGACTTTTGCCTGAGCTGATATGGAGTATACAGCAATGGCACCAAACCCATAGGGCTATAGCTACTCACTGCATGAGGCCCAGAACCAGCTGGGGCATTCTGTGTTAGCAAATGCATAGCAAGAGTATAGTGTATGAAGCAGTGATGACTGAGCTGTGGGAGAGTCAGAACTTGGAGGAGGAGAAAGCAACTATAATGGATCGTGGTGGTTAGCCTGTGACCTACAGTAAGCCAAGTGTTACCTTCAGAGACTCAAGGAACACCTGGTGGCAGACTCCCATGCATCAGTGACTCCTCCTTGATAATTCTGTCACATGTCAGGACAGGCCCCACCAGAAGACCAGTTCAAGTCAGAATGATGAAGATGTCTGTGCTGTGAAAAGGTGACTCACAGTGCTGTCACAAGATAGCCAGTCACTTGCCAGGTGACGAGCTGACTCTGCAAGGGTTCAGAAAGCTCAGAATAGGTGGAGACATGGTTATTTGCAGGCCACATAAGTCCCCATTAAAGCTCTTTCCACAAACCTGCAGCAGTACCTTAGGTCGCTTCATTATTGCATCCTTCCTTTGGTACTTTGAGACTTCTCTAGGGACCAGAGATTGAGGCTGGGGGCGGGGGGAGGGGGGTAGGCAGAGGGCAGCAGGCAGGCCTGCTCCAGGCACTTATCTGGTCAGGGTGAGGAAACTTCTTTGGCTCGCCTCTCAGAAAACCACACACTCCTCTCATTCCAGGTCTCCAAAAAATACAGCGAGATCGAGGAGTTTTACCAGAAACTGAGCAATCGTTACCCAGCAGCCAGCTTGCCCCCGCTGCCTAGGAAGGTCCTGTTTGTCGGGGAGTCTGACATTCGGGAAAGGAGAGCCATGTTTGATGAAATTCTGCGCTGTGTCTCCAAGGATGCCCAGTTGGCGGGCAGCCCAGAGCTGCTAGAATTCCTAGGTACCCGAGGCTTTGTCCCATGTCCCAAGCCCCTGAGGTCTCTGCAACCCAGAACCCCCCTCACCACTGTGACTCAGTGGGAGGCCCATTGCCACCCTCCATGGCCTACAAGCTTTAGCAAAGCTGTTGAGGTAGCTGGGCCTCAGTGACCTCCTGGGCTGGATGGTGAGCAGGAGACCCAGCATTCAAGGAAGTAACCTCTGGATGCCAGCGGGTATTCACAGCGTGACCTTGCCATGACCTTCCTAGCCATCCTTGTTATATATCTCCCTTCACTTATATACTTGTGTGTGCACATATCCCTTTGCCTCTTGCCAACCAGACCTGGCAGCCTGTGACATGCAGAGAACACTGGGTTCCACACCCAGCCTTCTGTCTGGGTCCCTTGTGGGTATCACTCTCAGGCCGTGTCCCACATAGAGAGTATGGGTATGATCTGGCACTCTTATAGCCAACTCTGGGGACCTTGAGCTCTTCTTTATAGCATCAGGGACTCCCCCCACACACACACACACCGAGCCTTCTTTGTTTCATGGGGGTATTCTCCATAAGAGAAGTAATTTACTGATGAAGTGCTTCAAACAGCCTGTTGTGCAGAAGGTAGTGATAAAAAGACAAATGCCCCATCCAGCACCCCTGTCTACTTAAATCCCCCTGGGGGAGCATCTGCACTTCATGCCCTGGACAATGGGGCCAGGCCATACCTGTCTCTCTTCACCACTTCCCCTTTCCAGTCAGTCATTTAACTTTGCTTTTTTCTGACCCATGGATCTCCAGGTCTACAGGCCAGGGCATAATTCCCTTAAACCAAATGTGAAGGAAGAACACTGTTAAGATTTTAACTACAGAGTGATGTTTGTTTGTTTGTTTGTTTGTTGAGACAGAGCTTCTCTATGTAGTTCTAGGTGGTATTCATTCATTCATTTGAGACCAGGTTTCTCTATGTAGTCCTGGCTGTCTTGAAACTCACTACATAGACCAGACTGCCCTCAAACTCACAGAGATCCACCTGCCTTTGCTTCAAAAGTGTTGGGATTAAAGGTGTGCCACCATGCCTGGCTGAATGATTATTTTTTTAAGTGACTGTTTTAAAGGGTAACTACCCAGTCACTGCTCACATACAGATGAACAAACAGTCCAGACCTACGCTTCTCAAACTGTCTGTGGGGGAGGACTAGCTATTTATTCCCAGCCTCTCACAGACAGATATGCTCACAAATATTGCATGCTGGGATGCTGCAATGATGCCAAGCCTCTATGCACATTTCTTGGGGCTTGTTTCCCCTTTCTGAACTGAACTTACCACAGACACCTGCCTCTGATGCCTTGAAAAGAACTGATGTAAGCCCAGTTGTCCTGGGGTGGTGGCAGTTTGTTCTGGAATCTCGCCCACATGCTCACTGCACTCATTCATGTGGCAATCTGATAATGCAGACTCCTGGAGTTACCTGCCTATGGTTAGGTCAGCAGAGTCCCTTACGGGAACTTAACTATTGTGAAACATTCAGAAAGAGACAGTCCTGCTCAAACCCCATTGTACACTGGCTAGTGCACTCCACCACTGGGTTCCTGGGCACCACCGACTTGGCTGTTTCTGTGGAGCGTTAACTCTGGTTTTTATGACATGCTGTCCTCTGGCGTAGCACAGCTGTTGCTCTCTTGAATTCTTAGCAGCTGTGGTCGCTTACCTGGACATGAACCACACAAGATTGGGTCCATTAATCTTCCCTCATGTATGTTAGAGGGACTCAAAAGGGGACAGATAGGGCAGATGGAGGGACAGACAGACTTATAGATAGGTATACAGATGGGTGGATGGATGGATGGATGGATGGATAGATAGACGGACGGACAGACGGATAGACAAGCAATTAGCTGTTAGGAGGGAGTTTTTTTTAAAACATGGTATAACAATTATAAGCTGCCCATGCTCCTGTAAGTAACCCCAGTTAAACTCAATACATCAAGCTAGACATGGGTGGAATCTTCCCTTTGTTCTGCAGTTGGTCCTCTATCTGGAATGAATAGTTGTCCATGTCTCCCTGGGAAAAGTTCACACATCACTGGCCCACAGAAATTCTGAAACTCCTGTCTTCCACTTGTTCCGAGATTTCCCATGACTAGGCCACCTCAGTCTTCCATGGTGCCAGCATCACTGAGGGAGATACCATAGGGCCTGGACCTCTCCCAAATTCTTCATTCAGGATGAAGCAGAACTGGGGTCCCAGGAAGTCACAGGAAGCCCTCGGCCTCAGAACCTGTCTTGGGAGGGTGGGTGTGGTGATGTCTCCTTAAAAGTGGACATCAAGCTCTTACTTTCTTCTTCTTCTTCTTCCATAGGCACCAGATCCCCAGGGGCTGCAGGCCTTGCTGCTAGAGATCCCTTTGTACTGGATGACACAGCCAGCCAGCCAGGGGACAACGATGAGCCTTTTGACTTCTTTGAGCAGCAGGATCAAGTGCAGCCACCCACACTGGGCCTGAGCAACAAGGATGTGGAGAAGTCCCTGGAGGAAGAAGAAGAGGAGGAAGAGGCACTGGATCCCCTGGGCATCATGCGGTAGGTCTCTACTGCCTCCCAGGTGATTTGCTCAAAAGGGGTCTGGATCACGGGGCTTTGACTTGGTGCACTCAAGAGAGTTCGCTCTGCTCCACCTTGCTCAATATCACCTGCCCATACCTACTCATAGCCCCCATCTGTGGCTAACTGTAGAGTTAGCCCCATGATAACTCAGTAGTACAGCCTGCTGGACCCATCTACTGGCACCAGGAGCTGGCTTCCCCTTCTGCTGAGTGAGTGGCAATGTGACTTGTTTGCCCCTGAGCATGCCTCTCCATCTGTAAGGCAGGACTCCCTTCAGCTCCTCCAGGACTGTTGGAAGCCTCCATGAGTATGTGGATGTAAGTCACCTGTGACTGACAGGTGCTGACTCCAGTGACTAGACAGTGTCTTCTTCACATGCTCACACACACTCCAAGTGGAGATGAAGAGCGTTACCAGCTAGGTTCCCCTTTTGCTTCACTCCTCTCTGATGCATTCAGCCAATCACTGAACTGCTTCTGAGCCCTGACTACATGGACCACCCTGATCTGGAGATGGGGACAGGACACAGGTTGGAGAAAGAGATGCACAGCCAGACATCTCCTGCCACAGTCCCCCCAGTGGACATGGGCTGAGAATACATGGCTTTCCTAATTCAGCCATCCCAGAATATTTTTTCTCCTTCTTGACTCAAGCAAAGAACAAGTAATATTTTCTGTGCTGGGCATAATACTCTGTACTTCACATACTGTGTCTCATCTTTTCCTTGCCTTGCACGAAGCAGCTGAAGGTAAAAATCGGTGCTGGACTGACACTGAGTCTGAGGGCTTTCTGCTGGGGTCTGAATTCCGGTTCCATGCTTCAGTAGCCAAGGCTACTCCCTGGCTATCTGCCTCTTTCTTCTGTTTTCTTCACTAAAAAATGGACTCTAGACAGCCCCTACCGCCTGGAGCTCCAGGGAAGATTATCTAGGATGCTTACCACACCGGTTGTCATCATAGACTCCACTTAGCAGAATGCAGACCACGTGCCCCGGCACCCTTCTCCACACTGGGACACATGGGCCATCCTCAGTATACAGACAAGGGAGGCCTGCCTGAAACAAGAGCCACCAAGGAATTGGACAGAGGCATGCTCAGTGTGATGATGTAGAAAATGAGGGTCCCCCAAATGCCGCCCACTCTGCATGGGTTTTCCTCCCCAGGTGTGATATGTGAGACATGCTGCAGGGCTGTGAGCCCAACACAGAGGAGATGAGGCCTCACACTGGGCAAAGGTACCCAGACCAGGGGAATCAGTGTCCTCCCAATAGCCTCCAGCCAGTGTGTATGTTGGGGGGCCAGGGGAGGTGGTCGTCTGGTCCACAAGGGACAGGCAGTAAGGATATCAAGGTGACATGGGGAGAAGCCTATAATATCCACTTCTTATCGGCCTTGCCCAGGCCTGGGGCCTTGCCTGGGCTTTATTTTGTTAAGGATAAAGCATTGTTTGAACTCATGCCATCTGCTGTCCTAAGTAACCACGAGCAGTGCCAGACTGAGATGGACTTGTGAGGCTGCACCAGCCTTTGGCTGAACAACATAGTTAGCAAAGTGGCTCCTTTTTTGGGTAGGAAAATGCTCTTGGGGTTGGCAAGTGCTGCCTTGAATTTCTTAGTCTAGTAGCAGAGTCGGGGTGGGGGGGGCGGGTGTTAGGCAGCATGGCAGCCAGCCTGGGACCACCTGCAGGGAGCTCTGTGCCCTTGGGGGGCCTGGCTCCTGGATTCTGGGAAAACAGCACCAAGAGGTGTTCCTGCCAGATTTTCTCTTAAGGACCCATGTGACACCAGTTGGTATTATCGGCTCTGTCAGGAATAATAAGTAATGTTTTTCGTGAGCTTTGTCAGTGCCCGGAACTGAGCTAATTGGCATTTGCTTGCTCATGTTACCTCTGAGACAGGGCTTCTGAAACTGGCCAGGACCTGCAGCAAATGTGTTGTACGTCAGGCCACACATGTATGTGCTTCATATGAAACCAAGGGAGGCTGAAACCAAGGGAGGCTCAAGAACATAGGAAACCTCACTAAGAGAGAGCACTGCATGCCGATGGCTCCTTCTTTGGAAAAAGATCCATAGCATGCCGAACTGCTTTCTGGGACCATTGCCGGCACCACATGGAAACCAAAGAGGGGGTGGGGGGTGCTGATTTTGTTTTCTGTGGCGGGACACTGGAGTCTAGAGTCAGGTGGCTTGAGCTCATTCATACAGCCCCAAATGGCAGAAGGAGGGCTTGAGGCCACCTGCAATCATCTTTTGGCCATGAACTAGGGAGGCCTTTTACATGTGGAGAAACCAAGACTTATCCGAGTAGGGACTTGTCCAAAGCCTGGTGCTCTAGTTCAGTTTCTTCTGCTATGATAAAGACCATGGCCAAATGCAGTTCAGGGATGGGAGGACAGGATTTACTTGGCTTAATCTCCCAGGTCACAGTCACTCACTGAGGGAGCTGAAGCAGAGACCATGGAGGAATGCCGCTCACTGGGCTGCATCTACTGGGCTTGCTCAATTTGCTTTCTTATACATCCCAGGCCCACCTACCCAAAGGTGGCACTGCCCCTGGGGACTGGGCTCTTCTGCATCAGTCATTATTCCAGAAAATGCCCTACATACTTCCCCATAAGGAATCTGATGGAGAGACATTATCTCAGCTGAGTTTCCTCTCCTCAGGTAACTCTATTTTGTGTCAAGCTGATGTGCACGTGCGCGCGCGTGCGCGCGCGCGCACACACACACACACACACACACACACACAGAGAACAGAGAACAGAAACTTCAGATTTCCTTGGAGCTGGAGTCACAGATGCTCACAGATCTTAAAGAAAGATGCTGTGGACTGAACTCATGTCCTCTGTTAGAGCGGTGCCCTTAGCCACAGACCTACATCTCCAGTCCCATGTAAGACTTCTTTATTTTGTGTTGTTTTAATTTTAGAGGAGATCCTGGAAAGATATTACTTTGAGAAGGGGCTTTGGGCTTTTGAATATCACTATTATATATGTGATACAGCAGAGACTTGAGGGGTCAGGTTTCCCCCTCATGGACACAAGGGCTGCCCTCCTCACCCTTTGGTGAAGTATTCTTATTATCCACTAGCTTTATATTCTGAATTCCTTTGCTTCTTTGCAGACACAGCACCCCTGCCTCCCAAGCTCTGATCCCCCAGCCCAACCCAGAGCAGCCTTCCTTGTTCTCAACCTCAGACATTCCCTGATGTGGCCACAGGGAGGCGCTCAGTCTCCATTTCAGGACTGTCTGCAAGGGTGGGAGCAATTGGCACAAAGCCGGAGCCCGACTGGCCTGGCTTTTCTTTGTCTCCAACCTGCCTCCAGACTAGGGAAAAGTCAGCTTCAGCACACTGTTGGGGAGCAGAGAGAAGCCCTCACCCTAGCTCATTCAAATAGCATCGCTCCTTGTCTTTTCTGGGGTTTTTCTCTGACCCTGGCCCTTGCCATCTGGACTCTAGACATAGTGTACATACTGTTTCACACTCGGCTTTTCCAATTAACATTCTGTCCCAGGCGTCTTGCTCTGTCATCCAGACTTTCTGTATTTAACTCTATTTTAGCATCTTTGTGGCTCTGAGAAAACTGTGCCTTGTGCTAGAGACATTTTTCATCCTTACTCAAAAACAAACAACAACAACAACAACAACAACAAAACACCCTGGTCATTGGGAACAATTAGAAACACGGGCAAAAGTCTTTCCCCCAGGAACACAGATGGTTTCTAACCTTCACACCTCCCTAACAATGGGATTATTCCATATCTTTGATTCCACAGTTTGGTGTTTTCTACATCTTTGCTAGGTCTCTCTCCAGATGAATGCTATATCTCCCTCAGACTCTGAGCCAGCCCCTCAGGTCCAGGCACTGGAAGTAGCACTGTCAGATCCCAGCTTTTGGTACCTTCCACAGGCTTTTGCTATCGCAGGCAGTAACTTGAAGAACTATGAGTACAGTGTTTTCATCCCATGGAACTTTTCATCTAAGTTATGGACCCAGAGTAAGATCCCTGAAGGTTCTGCAGGGGGCTCTGGCTGATAAAGGCTCTTTGGGGTCTACACCTTTGCCCTGCTAGAGGCCTCTCTTCTCTCCCACCCACCCTGTGAATCAAAACACCACTGCCTGCCTCTTCTGCAGCCTGCTTCCTAGTGACAGAGGATGCAGCTGGCTCCTGCCTCTGCCTGTCTGTGAGGTTGGCCTCTCAGGCTCTCAAATGGGAGGGCCCAGGACTCAAGTGAAGACCTTTTTCCTTGGAGACTGTTTTATCGTTGTTTTTTGTATAGACTTTGCTTTGTCTTCCAGGAAATAACTGCTTGTGTTGAGTATAAAAATAATACTTCTTTTTTTTTGTATTTGGCTGAAGTTTCTACTCTGGGATGATCCATCCATTTTTTGAATGTCCATAGAACCTCTGCTAGTGTTCCTAGATTTGCTCGCCCAGCATATGGACTTGCTCCTAGATTTGCTTGCCCAGGAACTGGTGTGGTTCTAGCCTTGTTGCTACTCCAGTAACTCTGGAATGTCCTTCCTTGGGTGCCTTTTGCTAAATAAATAGCACTGGCATCACTCCTGTCTTGAGGACTTTGAGCCAGGAGACCCAGGCCTCTGTTGGATACTTATTTACAGCAGTTAGGGACTATATTTCTGCCTAGTTCACCAGGTGAAGATACAGATTCCCAGGCCCCCTCGGCCCTTCCATGGAGGCACAGACTCTGTCATGAGCCCTTGTGTGTGAGTCGTGGTCACACTCACACTGCAGCAGTCCAGACACCAACGTATACAGAAGTCAGAGAGATGCCCTCATAGTGCAGAGGGGAAGGATGAACAGGGCACCCTGTCCATAACATCCCTCATCCTAATCCTGCGGCTCATCTTAACTCTCTCTACTGTCTACCCCCTGCTAAACAAGACACCCCCCCCCAGTAGTACTTTCTTGGTTCCAGGCCCTAGCTGGCCCCAAAGTAGTGAGGGAGGCAGA